GAGAACGGCAGAGTGCGTCGACTGTCGGTAGTTGAGTTTTTTCCAACTTTCAGATAAAAAGCATATTGTCAATACTCAGGTGAAATAACATTGTGTCAGCACGTGTTGTACACTATACTAACGCATTTTCGATGCTTTTACAAAAGCAATATTTGAAGAAAGTTTCGTGAGAAGCGAATATCAACGTCTTAATGCACAGTTCGAAGTATTTTCCATCTGTTTGGGTATGGATGGTGTGGATGTAGAGTCTGGAGGGAGTGATAGTGTGGGTATGGGTAGAGAAAAACAGCTATCGACACATACAATCACACCCACACTCACACCATCTCTAAACTAAAGAGAATATTCCGAAAAATTTTCCTTATTAAAATTATGCTTCTTTTCCTAATTGGATGAAATAAATTATTAACAAGAATAACTCTGAGATTTTCTATGATCTTCATTGTTAATTCAAATACTGAATTTAATTGTTAGGAGATATTTTCAATAATCATGCAAGGGACTATCTATAATTGTTCTTCAAATTCTCCTATTTTAATTCAATGGGATCAAATAATAACAATGATATTAAGTGAAATTTCTATTTCAGCAAAAATGTTATCATATGATGTTTATGAATTGAAATTAACAGTAATTATAATTGCTTCATCGAATTTCACTTCATCATCTTCAGTTCGTGTCACAATTGCTCTATTACAAATTGTAATTGATAACGTAGGAAGAGAATCCAAGAATGAATACAAAATTATTATCGAATATATGATTTAAATATTGAAGAATTATTATTAGAAGTTGATAATTCAACATCGTGTTTTTCAAATTCATCAGGTAAAGTTTTCACGATAACCATTAATGATAGGATCGATTCGTGTTTTTTCGAACTGGACAGACTCGAAAAACTCTCAAAACAAATTGAACCGAACCGATCTAAGCTCTGATATGTATATAAACATTAACTTTTTTGTGATTATCTAATAAAGGAAATAAAACAACATGGTAATACAGCGAAACAAGTCTTTCATTGAAATTCTCGTTGAAAATCTTTGATGACTCATTTCAATTGAATCAAACATATCGATTATTTATTTGTTCATGTTTAAGAAGCAACATCTCATTTGATGGCAATTCAGTAAATATGATTCATTGATCTTTTCAAAATATTTATCATATTATCATTGAGTTGTATTATATTAACAACATATGTTTCAAAGATGGATTATCAATTGATTAATTCAACAACACAAGTTGTACTCTATTATTTTTGTCTCGGCAATTATTCATCAGATAAAACCATCAAATGGAATATTGATGAAGATTCACATAAGTTATCAACAAAAATATTACTTTTTGGACTTCATTTAATCAAGTGATTTCAATTTTGATGATTTATTTCGTCTAATTTATCCTTTTGAACTAATTTAGGTTGCAAATAAAAATAATTTTACTTTTACAAATGAGTTATTTTTAATGAATCCTCTTATTGAATATTGAAAATTTGAAGTTATTTATAAATTTGTGATAGGAACAAGTTCAGTTTCTTTCAAAATTAATCAATGTTTATCAAATGGGAGTTGCTCAATTAATCCTTATAATGGTACAACAATAACATTATTGTCTATTTCTCGTTTAAATTGGTTTGATAAAGATGGAATCAAAGATTATTCATGTTAAGGTTTATTTTTTTTCTTTATGTTAAAGAAAAGAAAATTGTTTTCTTTTTTAGTTTGGGCAAATGATTTTTCAAAACAATCGATAATTGAATTTACATCAGTATTTGACTTTCAAGTTCAATTACTATATGAAAATGTTGTCGTTCGTAATGAGTTAACAGAAATTAAAAACTAAATCAATACTTTTAGAATTCTAAAAATGATTTGATGAATAATTCATTTATTCAAATATTTTCAAAATGAAATTAAAATATTCTTAGACAAATAATTACTTTTCTTTCACTACAATTTAAAAAAATCCATAGTGTATCTGTAGATAAGGTTGTTTATAATTGCCAGATGCCATTCCACTATCAAGCATTCTGTTCTAACATTAGGAAGTCGATTTTCACCTAAGGTTAGTCTTGAATTTGAACGATATTAATATTTATTATTTGAAATAGAAATCAATTCAATTAAATCAATCTGTTCGTAATTAACACAAGCAGTAATTAAATATTTCTGAAAATATTCGAAAATATTTAATAAATATTACAAAAAAAATTTGGCAGTTGTTGGTGTGAATAGTATCAAATTCCAAGCATCAACATTAGTTCAATTAACTGATGCAATAAAGCAATTCATATGAACAACTTCATTAAAAATTTTAATTTATTTCTTTTCCAAACATTTTCTTTTGTTTGACTAAATAGATGATTGCTTCTAAAATAAAAATGTCATACATTAGCGGATTATGTTTTTGTTTCAATATTAAATCTTCTTTAGATATAATTAGTAATAAATTTGATATGTATTCTATCAATAACTTGTATATCTATTAGAGGTATCAGAGTTCTCTTTCCTTGAGAGTTCCATTCTCAAAGAACAAGAATGCATCTCATACTGCATTTTCTAGCATTTTATAGCATAATGATGTGTTCAAACATTGTTGTTTATCTTTTTATATGAGACTGTTATGTATTACAAGTTCCTAGGAATCGGAACTCACCTTGCATTCCCTTTCTTAGGAACAGAAGACTCTCAATACAAGTGTGTGGATGTGTATGAAGTGGAGATCACCACACCCACAACTACTTCAATAAAAGTGTATGATTCTAGATTACAAATAACTATTTTTAATTTGAGAAACACGAAATATAAATATAAAACAATCAATGTTGCATGAAACAAGTAGATCAATGAACTTTATTTCAATCATCAATTCATTGATATGAAGGTCCACCAGCTATAATCATGTTACATTTAATCAAAATCTGTATATGAATAATAATGAAAGATTTGTACATGAAAAAGGAGTTACAAGAATATTTAATACTAGAAATACTATATCAAACAAAAATACAACAGTTAATAAGAAAAAAAAGGAAAATTGATCAATATTATACATTTGATCAAATAAATCTATGTTTGATTAATGCAAGTAGTTTTATAGATTTATCTCTATCAGCTTTTAGTTTATCATTTTCTCTTCGAGTTGTCTGAAAACATTTCTTAGCTCAAACTAATCAATTGCATTTTATGAAAATATAATTTGAGGATGAAAATTATTAAATTATTCTTTGAATGTTACACATTTTCTAAAAATTTTGAAAATGAGTTCCTTTTTTTTTTAAAATTTATCAGTATCTTTAATAGCCATGTTAAAACTAAGAATATGTTAATTATGAAATAGGATCAATTGTAACTAATACAAGGAAAGATATTCAAATAAAGAATACAAGTGTGTTACTAATATACACTAATCACGTCTTGAAAAGGCAAAGATATATATTTAGGACGCATAGAACAAAAAAAAAGATCTATTTATGGTTTATTGACTGTTCTTATCGCTATTCGATTGACATAGGATAGAAAATGAGAAAAAAACAGGTTTATTTTCTATTAAAGGAAAAAAAACTACGATCCAAAGTAAAAATTTATACGATTAATCTCACCTTTTGATAATATTAATCTTGAATTCATGACACTGATATGAGTTGATAATATGATTGATCCTCCTAAAGATAATGATAAATAAGATACAATTATTTTAATTAGTAACGGTAGATTACATCAACAACAATTACAAAGTATTCTTTATTCAAGACAGATTATTTATTTGATATTTACTTTTTTATCTTAGTCTTGGTTATGTAGAGTTGAAATATTACAGTAGAATCAGATGATTTATTAAAAATAATTCGATTTAATTGTAAAAATGAAAAACAAAAATTAAATGAGTCAATTGGATGGTGTAAGTGTGAAGGGTAGAAAGACCAATAATCACACCTATATACGCTCTCAAAAAAACTATGTTTGTGTTTCTGGCCAAAAAATATGTGTAGGATAGTGTATTACCATCAACTATCGTTGTTCGATGATCTTCATCTGGGTATTCGATAATGTGGATAGTCAATCAACATATACGTATTCCTTTTTCTTGGTCACCAACCAATATTATCAAAAGTATACTTCGATTCTCAATACTTCAACTCAGTAACACACAGCTGGGACGACTCTCAGAAGTTACAGTCGTTATTTATCTTGATTATTTTGTTTAGTGCCATAAAACATTTTAAGTCAAGTGATTTCTTATTTGTCACGCTCACGTATGCAAGAGGTTTCAACATGAATAGAACATCATTTTAGTTCTTTTCTTCAGCTATCCATACTGATCGAACGATTTTCGATGAATAAACTGATCGATTTATTTTAGATATAAATATGTTTTTCTTGATTCTCACATTTACTATTTGGAAGATAATTAGTATCCATGGTGAATCATTATTTTCATTAGCTTGTTCACATGATAATGAAACATGTACTCTGTACAAAATCGATATTGATCTAGTTGGTGGTCGTGCTACATCGAATCAAATTGCTGAATGGCATCAATCTAATGTTGTTGAGAGCTTTGGATCTGTAGCTGGATTCAAAAATGGCAAGACAGGTTATATTGTAATGACAACTAATTGTAACTCTCAAGCGAATCTTATTAATATTAACAATCTATCGCAACCAATATCATCTATAATGATGAAAACATCGTGTACGCAGCCAATTCACGCATTATCGGGTAGATGGTTGTTGGCACTGGGTACAGCCTCCAATGGTGTTGGTGGTTCATACCCTGTATCATTATATATATTTGATCCAATATCAAGTTTATCGAGTCGTGGTGAGTTTTATTCATCCTGGTGGAAACAAAGAAAGGGGCGCCTCCTGGTCTTGTACTTGTTACCTCGAAGCAGTTTTACTGAGTGGAGAATCGGAAACTGCAGATGATACGAATTTAATAAATTTCTGTCAGAGATAGAGATCGAGCAGTACAGATTTTGATCAGCTTCTGTGAGCTAGTGTAGCAGAGGTTTCTATGCTGTGTTGCGTCTCTTACGATAAGAGATATGTAAAATGTACTATTAGAATGGTCATTGCCATAAGGAATATCGAGAATAGTCTTGCTTATTCATGGCAATATGCTGAGGTCTATGCGGCAGAACTAATTCTGAACAAACGATAGTTGGCGGAGAAATATGATGAAAATGCACAGAGAAGCACACATTTTGTCATTTTCAATGAGTTCAAAAAGTGTGCTCTTCACAAGAACATGTGGCGGAAATCAAAAGTTTGAAACATTTGCGTTCCCTTCTGTAACAATTCTCTAGGAGCCTTCACTTCTTTTCGAACATATTTTATTGCTACGATTGTCTCGACTGGAAATTCCTATACTGCAGAACATCCTCACCATAACTTTTCGTTGCACTAACGCTTCCAGTTTTCCATTGTCTATCTCTATTGCTGTTCACTGTGACCATGAACACAACTCCATGTGTGATATATATGGTTTGAATCTCTGTTTCAATCCGTACAGAGCCATAAATCTTATCCACATGCGATGTATTGAGAAACTAGCTATACTCTCACATTGTATGCTGTTTTCTCTACGTAATGTCAGGACTTATGCAATAAAACTGCTGAGTTTCAGAAGTCCAACGCAAAAATTTTAGAAATACATAGGGATTGTTCGATTCCTATTAAATGATATAATGATTATTTTCGTATCTATTTTGCCTACTCTTTAACATTCGTAGACATTGTTCATTTCGATACAATGTTCGCCAAATCATATCAATTATTACATCCACAAACAGGCTTTTCAGCTCTGAATTTAAATGCAGCTGAACCGATTTTTTATGCAGTATGTATTTCAGATCTTGTCTGCTAGAAATCAAAAATATTTGATTTCATTCTATTTTTCATATTCTATAGATCCTGTATAACTTAGTAAATGAGACACGTCATATTCTATCCATTCATATTGAAACGGGTCAATGGTCATTGAACCAAATTGGTAATAACTTATTACGTAATCTGGCATTTTCAACTGAATTAAATGCACCTGTTTGTGATTGTTCGCTCGGTGGTATATGTGTGTTAAACTGGGAGAGCTTTCAATGGGATTTATTCTTACCAATACCAAATTTTAATAGTTTTATGGATTGGACATTTTCAGCTGATAAACAAACCATGTATTTTATTCGAAAACAGAATATTACTGTAATTGATCTATCGAATAAGTTATCATTTCAATATCGTATTGTACCATTAATTGAACAAACTGGCGATATTAATGGTATTGACAAAACAGTAGGGTTGGATATGTAGTGATTCTACTATCATTTAGATATGTATGACATTTTATTTCGATATTGTATTTTTATTCCTACTCTCTCCCTAAATAAAGCGAATGATAAAAGGATCGAATATCATCGATAAAATATTGGAAAATTAACTTATCCACTAGTATATTTTTGAATTATAATTAATTATTTGTATGCTTAAATCAAACATCATCATATCAAAATTCGTTCTCTAATTACTGAATCTCATTGAATGATACGAAAAATTCGACAGATCACGTATGTTGCAACGGTGAAAGAAACCCTTTTGATAAATTATATAAAACGAATGTGTTGATAGTAATTGTTCTTTGCTGCAGTAATGTCATCATTGATGTAAACTGTTTGTCGTCTCCCCAATCGCCACTTATGATTATATTATCGACTAACGTGCGGTAATAATCCGGGTAAACATTGAAACAGTGTCGTATTTTTGGTATAAGAACTGTTGTCTTATCTTTATTAACGTAAAAGCCATAGAAAATGTTATTTTGATTAGACTTCATGAACAGAAAATTTGCTTATTCAATAGCGTTCGGTTTTTTAATGCTTATGAACCCAAGTGAAAAATATACCTAACAAAGTGAGGATTATTTTAGATTATCATTTTAGAAATTTTTGCATTATGGTACGAACCTGAAAGATTAAATGTGGTGTTCGACTAAAAGTATGGATGAGGCTGTGAAATAGAGTTTTCTTTAACTTTCATTCAGGTCAAAGACGTACAGCGTGGCAGGATGTGGATGTGCAAGTGGGTTTAAGTCTCCGTCTCATGTACATGAACACCCATACCCCAAAATGAGTCGTTTCTTTCTTGCATCTTGCATGATAGCTGATAATTATTTGACAGTCTGAGAGAAATATCTCATAGTTGACATCAGAATTCAGTTGATTTTGGAATGCGCAGGACAATTAAAAATAAAATTCATAGATACCAACAAAATGAAAAGGAAATTGTAGAGAAAACGTTGAAGATTTAAGAACTATGTAAAAGAATTTTTTTTAGGCAAATAAATAGTATATGGAACAAAATCATGTTTGAAGATTATCAATGCATAACATTAATATTTTGCAATTATATTTTTATTTTTACTGAGAACAAAACAAACAATTGATTGCTGTTTTTTTTTTCTTTAATGTATTAGAAGCTTGATTATATGAGTCATAGAATATATAATATTACTTGTCATTCTTAAACTTTAACAATATCAAAACATCTTTCAGGTCTTTTATATCATTAAACGAATTCTGCTTGGTCACGATCGATCATAATGATAATCGTAGATTTGTTGCCAATGAATTACTTTTTAAATATTTTTGGTGCTTTTCAAAATAAGTTATGATCTTATTATCTATTATTCTTTACAATGTCAGTAAAAGAACTCATCTTATATATGACATTCCGACTTCTTCAATCAAAATTAGAAATTATTTTGCACCAATTTAACTTAACCAAAAATTTTATTTTACAAAAATAAAACGAGATCCAGGGATGTCCCCAACGTGCTGGAGGGAAGATAAATCTCCCAAGGTGTAATTTTTTTTCTTCTCATTTAAAATAATAGGAACTGAAAATAATTGATCGCTGTTCGAAAAGAAAAATCTTTAATAATGAACATGTTGTACTATATCATATTAAACAAAGACATCACCTATTACGTATATATCAATTATGCAATAATAAAAACACTAACTACTAAAATAATAGATGAATATCTTCCATTATATTTTTTTCTCGTTCATCTTGACCCAACGTCATGATCAACTCAAGATATTTACTACAACATAATATAAATACTGTATCAAATTAACGAATTCATCTTGAGATATAAAGAAACCAAATTTCCCAAACAAAAACAGAAAATCTTTGAAGAATTCATAAAAAAACATTGTTTTAAAAAAAATACATGGAATTTTTTCATCTATGAACAATCATTATCAAACTGAGAGAGAAAAGACAAACATATAAAAACACGATAACCTGAAATGATGAAATAACACGGAAATAAATGTCTTTACATTGACAATAAAAATAATCATATTATGCATTCAAAATATTTTGAACATGTTTCAGAAAAAAAATCTTTAATAATGAACATGATACTATATATATATCTTATTCAGCATATATGTTACTCATTACATATTTACTATTTATATAATATGAAAACGGAAATCGCTAAAACTATTGAGAAAAAAAAATTTTATGACATTTAGTCAGTGACCCCGGTGATCAAGTGCAGTGCACCTAGAGATATCCCCTCGGAAATGGACTCTGATCATACCTGGCAACTCAAACCAAGTCTAGATAATAGAGAATTTGACGCTGAATCTAATGGAATATATCCGAACGAGAAAACTCATTTGTGCCAAATGAAATTCACAGAACAGTCAGTGAGTAACCCATGTGATCACGTGGAGTGGATTCAGAGATACCTCTCCTCGGTGAAAGATTCGATTTGGAAGGCAAAAGGTTTGAAGTATGGTAAACCTAATTATACCAATCGATAGAGCCCGTCGAGTTGCATTTAGAACAAGGATAGCACAATTGGAATAATTTTCTGGGTGAATCCGGAATGGAAATACTTTCCACGATACCTGTTCCCCATTGGAAAAAAAATTGTAAAATCGATTTTTAAGAGCAATGGTTTGAGATAGGAAAATCTAAATAGATCAATCGATAGAGCTCGTCGAGTTATACTTGGAACAAAAGTAGCATAGTTAGAACAAGTTCTATGGTGAATTTGAGATGAAAATACTTGAATCTGGTGATAACTGCAAATGCATAAATCTGATTTAGACAGATTTCTCTTTTATAATGATATGTTTTACTGAGCGATTTTGATAAAAGTAAAGGTGATAATTTTAGTCATTTCTTTCGGATGAGAAGAATTACAAATATGAAGAATAGACATTAGACTCTACTGCTAAAATGGTTTGATATCGTGAACAATATCACTCCCATGTAAGCGCTTCCAAGCGTAACAATAAACAACAATATCCAAAAAATCTGTTGATAATTTCACCTACGTGTAAACACGATTATTTAGATTAACATCGGTGATAATGGATTAAACGTAAATGATTAGAGCTAATTATAATTCTACTAATAATCGATTATAATCGAGAATAACATAAATAATCATTTAGCTAATGATTCTGTTGATTTATGTTCGATTATAATCGATTAATAGTCGATTAAAATTGTATGCTTTTAAAGAATTTTTAATCAAAGTCAAATCGATTTTAATCTGATTTGTCGTGAAAAAATCTTTACACGGGAAGTCTTCGGTTACTGATCGAGAGATGCTCGGTTTATCCTTTTTTTCTCTTATTTTGAGAATTTCTTTTTTTTATGAAAATGAACATTAATGGAAAAGTGGCTATATTATGGCCATACGTCTACTCATAATAAATAGACGACATCACGAATGATAAAGATGAGAGAGAGGATTAATATTGACAAAGAAAATGACACAAGCTGTATTGTGACGCATCTTCGTTGTGCACTCTAGTCACGCTGGGAAAGTGAGACACTTTCTGTCTACAGGTAAACAAACGTCAATGAGAAAAAACCCATTCATTTTTTTTCTATATATAAATACGTCAGGTGATCAATCACCGATCAAACAAAATACAACATTACATTTCATTTAATGCTTTGATCGTAAGTAGATCGGCATCATTGTTAAGTTTTGATTCTACGACAAAAAGTATTTCGATTCTTTTGTGCTTAGTGATTCTCATCTCATCTGCAAGCAAGTGAGAAGTAGTGATGAGAAAAATCGATTTTTTTATGGTCTCTGTAAGATATTGGTGACACTAATTTATATAAAAAATTATGTTTTTGTTGCCTCATAAGCAACATCTATTCATTGAAATCTTTCGCTGTACGCTCAGCTAATGCGATGCCCTATGGGTACCGTTTTCGTCTGTTTCTCTTTTCGCAGCATCCTCGGCCTCGAGTGTCTGTAACACTTTTAATCTGAGGTGTACGTATATATCTCTTTATATTGATTATGTGAATACAGTTTCGATATGTGTAGTTTAGGGTTTGTTGCAGATATAGAAATACAGAGATCTACTTGGAGTATTCACAAAGTAGTGATAATGACACTTTAATACTGTATAGTAAGTTTGAAGAAATTTTCTTTTTTTATGTGGTGATAGAGAAAACGATGCTCTATTTTTCTGTACTATTTGATTACTCTTCAACTAATATCATAATAATAAAATTTCGATAAGAACTGTTTTTTGTGTAAGATTTCACTAGCGGATGAAACAGATTAAATGTTTTAATCACTTAATACATTGTATTAAAAAACAAAATATACAAGCACAATATACAGTGTGAAAAGCTCTACAATTTACATAATATAGCTTTTTTTATAATTGCACTTTTTGTTTTCAAAATGAACAGAATTTTGAGCAACCAATTTTCAACCGCGCGAAAACAATATTTTTTTGGTAGAAGATGGATTAATTTTTTCTCATTTCATTGTTTTGTCACCTAATATCTTTTATTTAAAAAAAAACGAAATACATCACAAGATGCAGCGTGAGAAACTCTGCAATCTCCAAAGTGAAGATCATCTTAATTGTGCACTTCTTGTTTTCAAAAAGCGCAAGATTCTGTGCGACCATGTTCGCTGGCCCGAAAAAATCATTTTTTTTCTATACGAAAAGAAATTCCTTTTTTCTTATTCCATATATGAAATAAACTGTTCCTTATAAATTGTAGACCTTTTCACACTGTATCTTGTGCTTGTATATTTTGTTTTTTAATACAATGTATTAAGTGATTAAAACATTTAATCTGTTTCATCCGCTAGTGAAATCTTACACAAAAAACAGTTCTTATCGAAATTTTATTATTATGATATTAGTTTGAAGAGTGATCAAATAGTACAGAAAAATAGAGCATCGTTTTCTCTATCACCACATAAAAAAAGAAAATTTCTTCAAACTTACTATACAGTATTAAAG